TCCTCATGAGCTGCTGAAATCAGGTGGGGCAGTGTTTCCTTGTTTCCCCCCCCCCACCCTCCCCCCGACTATCTTTCTGTTAATGGCCCATCAATGCCATGCAGCATGACTCATTATCCCATTGTGAGATGCTCCACCCAGAGGGAAAAACCCAGCATTCCATCCTGGATATAACCTGAGATTCTGAATACCAGAGGCCTCTCTTTTCCACTGGATTTCCAGAGGACAGGAGCTGCTTAGCCACCACTGGACTTTTCTGACGAAGAGCAGATCTTCTTTTTTTTTCCTCTACGGGATCACTGCTTCTACCAGACTGCTACCACCACCCTGATTAACAGGGTGTCAGGTTGTATCCTGACTCTGTTAGTTTAACCCAGTGTTATCTGCCTTTATATTTTTTTTTTTTCTTTCCTTATTAAATTGTTATTTTGACTTGGTGTCTCCCACTAGTTTGTTTTCAAACTAGCACAAAAATGATGTGCAACAATTTTCAGACTGGTGGTGAAGTAATTTGGTGTGAATGAGCCCTTTAAAATTAAGCACAGATAGTGTAAAAGGTGCTTTACAAAACGCTATTCTGTTTCTGTCTAAATGCATGGGCATTAGACCTCTCAGAAATACAGATGAATTTAGTCATTGGGCTAATTTTCAAGGCTTTCACTGTGATAGTTGGAGTAAGCGATTATCCCATCCCTTTTACTCCAGAGCATTTTTTATCTACAGATCAGGACATGTGATTTTCCTGTTCATGGAGTACAAAGCAGACACCTTGCTTGGAGAAAAGTGTGTAGTGTGGGTGAAAACTTCTCTTTGTGTGCATGCATAAGATTTATTTATAATAGATAGTTCCTGCTATCCAGATGACTTCTCCTGGCTTCATTTCAGCAGAGCCAGGACGGTCTTTGTCACTTATGTAAGGTCTAGTAAGTGTGGTGCCTAAGCAGCAGCTGTTAATTTTCATCCCTGTTGGAAAATAAGATGAGCTATTACACTTACCCCATGAAATAATAGGGTTGTGTTTGGAAAGGCTGCTGCCCAGCTAGGAGGACTGCACACCCTTTGAAGGTGGCAACTTGAAGGTCTGAGAGCCATTTACAAAAGGCACACAACCCAGCAGGTCACAGAAATGAGGGAGCTGCATTTTCAAATTAGCTTTTCTCTGGTTTATGTTTTTCTGGCTTTGTCCTCTTCTTCAAAGGCAGAATGGGCAGGAGTTTCAGGAGGTCCTTCAGAAAAGGGTCAGTTCCCATGCTACAGGACGTGGATTTGCAAAGGCATAGTCCTGCATAGGTGTTTGCTGTGTGGGTTTGGGTTACAACTTATCTACTATTTTCAAGTATACGATTAGTAAAATTGTGGATTTCTACAAATAGAGTAGAACTGTAAACCTAACTTTAAAGGCCCTCTGAAATTTAAGACTGAAAAAGAGATTCTAAACTGATAGCATTATGATAGCATTTCTGCATTCCCTCAGGGATAATATAGCTGCATAATATTGTGACATTAGTAATGCTAAATTTATATTTAAATTTTAGTTGAGGACCTTTTCCTTACCATCCTAGAGTCCTTATAGACATTTGTACCTCTGTCAAAGTCAATGGTAGTACTTGACTCCCTAGTTTTATTCATCCAGTCTGTAGTAATATAAGTGATAGACCAAACCTGAGAAACGGTTTGGAGTGGGTCAAACTGGAGGGAAGGGTGGGTTTGGGGGTGGACAGCTTGCCTAGTTTATCTTTCATAATGGCCTTGAAATGCTGTGCCAGTTGTTCATGTTCCTCTTCCCCTCAGTGGGCAATTGGAGCTGAGAGTAAAAGTCTGTGTAATCTTAAACCAGGTTTGTCTTTGCACAGGCATTATGATTTAAATCTATATGGTCATATCTCATTTTTCAAATAGCTATGACTTGTTCATTATACAACCTTAGATATATACCTGTATTCTGGACAATAACAAGGAAGCAAAATAATAATGATTCTTATTTTTTATAGCACTTACTATGTATTGTTTGCAAAGGGCTGTAAAAGGAGGGCTTACATTACTTTACTGAGAGGAGGTCAGGGGTGAGAAGAGGTTAAAGTGATTTGTATTAAGGCTGTTAGAGGGGACTTTCAATTGGCAGCAATGATTACCTTGTTTTTAAACAGTTTATCATCCTTGCCCAGAAAATGCATACAGAAGGACATTGTACTGTAAAAAATACGGCTTTACATTCCCCTCAAATTTCAATAGACTATTTGTATATGTGCAGAATCAGTTAGAAAGAAGGCAGATTTTAGGAGACTGTAAAAAAAATCTAGTGTTCGGAGAACATCTTATCGCTGTATTGTTATGACGAAAGCAAAGTGAATGTTTGCCAAATGACTCTGAGGCATGGCCCTTTCTCTGCCTTCCTGAGCTGCCTCAAGCTGTTGTTTCAGAGTGGAGAATGAGTATGGGTGCTACATCTCCACCTTTTAATAAGTCTGTTCCATGTAAAATCTTGAACTCTACAGTGTGATTGCTCCAGTTGAGAGGTCTTCCCCCACCTCCAAGTCAAGGGGAAAGGTTTTATGCAAGAACAGGGGAGGAAGAAGAGACGAGTATTTAACTATAATCTGCCTTTGGCAAGTCATGTTCTATTTAAAACTTCAGTGCTCCCAGACAGCCAAGCCTGGCAGGCTGTGCAGTCTAAAAGCAGAACTGGTTCAGCACATGCGTAAGCATCCCAGGCTGCTCTTTGCAGCTTCCATCAGACCCTAGAGACCCCTGCATCTCTCTACACCTCATTCTCTACCACATCAGATTCTCTAGTTTTTCATTCCCTCTGCAGAGGCATACTCCCTTACATGCATATGAAGCCTTTTAATACAATATGCTGGTTCTAGACTCTATGTTGCTGAAGTTTAAACATGAATTTGCTGTAACTTTCTCTTGTTACATTATTTGTTTCCTGCTGCTATCTTGACTCTTCTTCCCTTACATTAATTTCACTTGTTTCAAGCCAAAGGTGATTACACATTCATCCTCTGTGTCCTAAAGCACCTTCCTTATGCTTTATCTCCCAAACGAGTCCTGAGAAAAAGACTTTGACTTAGAAGTATGTGGGGTTTGCACTTCATTTCCCCTGCCCTTGAAGGAGGAACTAGGCAAGGGTTAACTATTATCCTGATAGTTGATATTGAGAGGTCCTATCCTTTTTTCCTTCCCTGAAGGAAATGTGGGGATAGTGAGGAGCAGGATCTGTGCATTACCATTTTCTATTGCAGTAAATCTTAACGAAGATTGGGAAGTGGGTGTGATGTCAGTTTTCCAGCCCTGCTCCAGGGTCTTCTGCCATATTGCTGGGCAAGGAGCATCCCTGCTTGACAGGTTGGTGGCAGGCAGCAGCCTCCTGTGGAGTCCAGCCCAATGAGAAAAAGCTGTATTACTGTTTTGCTGAATCCACACACAAAGAAAGATAAATATACATTCAAGATAGCTACCTCTTCCATACATATTTCACTAATGATTACATCCTGAGTTAGCAGCTTGGGCTCAGGGCCTGTTGTTCAGGCTTCAATACACATCAGAATAGGTGGTTTGTTACACCTTAGTATAATACCTATTAGCACAATGGTTATCAGTTATAAAAGATACAGGATTCATCTATAGATTAATCTACTCTGGCTTGGTCCAGTTGTCCAAGCCTTAACACTTCAATTACCCCTCCCCTCTTTGGTCCCAAAATTGATCTTTTTCTGTGCTAATAGAAATGACAGTGACAGTAATGGACTTTCCCCAGAGATGTTTGTTTTATTTGCAATTATAATTAGAAGCACTAATATGTTTACTCTGTCTGATAATGTCTGATAATGATAACCAAAGGAAAGACCCTTTGATTTTTGATTTTTCTTTGTAAGTCTCTACACTCAGAACCATAAAACTCTCATGCTCTGGGCTGTCTCTTGTCACATCAGCTACCCTTTAAAGTGCAGCTTAATCATTTCTGTTGTCAACAAGTACCATTATCCCTTTTTGTCAAAAGCCTGTTGTCCTGTTATTCTAAGTCTTTTTGTTTTTTTCCATTATGAAGAGGAGCTGATGGTCAGGATCTCCTTTGTAAATAAACAAAGGTGGATAAAAAACATAAGCTGTCTTTTTCACTGAAGCAAACAAGAGACTGTTTCTGCAAAGACAGACCTGGATTTCCAGAGAAAGCACTGGATAATGTCAGTGCCAGACCCCTGCTGCCCAGCTGAGCCTCAGAGGGGCCATGCCATCAGGCACATGGCTCCTGCAGCCCTGTGTTGCTCCTGAAGACCTGTGAGTGAAGGAATGAGCTTTCAGCGAGCCCACCCCTCCTTACAGATGATATAGAGAATGATTACTTGTTTTGAGACTTACTTACTTACTTATAGAAAACTGCTTAGCAACTTATTTACTTACTTATAGCAAGTTATAGTATTACTTATAGTAATTTTTAATATTGCTAAGAATCCTGCTTGCCCAGACTGTTCTGTGGAATTTTACCAAGGACTACTGTGTTCATAAAACAAAGCAGATCACTGTGAAAATCTACCAAGAACTATAATGTTCAGCAAAATATTATGCTTTTGTCCTTGGGGAACAGGTGTGCTCTAACTAGTTGGAGTCTTGGTAATGAGTAAAGATAGCCATATACCGATGGTAGAAGTTCTGTTGGTTCTCTTAGATAAGACAGAATGAGTAAACCGTCTGAAAAACACTCTTGTTATTCAAGAAATTGGCCAAGGGAACCTGCGCATGCTCCGGGGTAAAAACAGGGTGAGAAAGACTACGAGCCTTCCTCCCAAAGATCCCTGAAGACACCCACCAGGAGGCAATGGGCAGGTGCAAAGAGAATATAAACTGTTGACATCAGCCTTTCTAACTAACCCAGCCTTACCCATGCATATGGATGTTTGTGTTATGTAAACCAATGAATAAGTATATTCACTCTCCATAAATTTTTGGTAAAATGTCTGGTGGGTGTGCAAGCTTTGTGGAGAAATCCCCTTGCACCCTGGTGCCGGAGTAAACATACCTGTTTTATAACTTTATTCGAGTTGTAGAGTCTTTTTTTTCTGCAAATCACAGACACCATTGGGTTCTTAGGGCAACAGTATGCCCAGGTAGCATTCTACCTGCCTGTTCCCACATTCAGCTACCTGATGTCTGATCAAGGCTCGGCTGTGTTGGTGCCTGTGCAGGAGAGGACAGAGCCTGGATCACTGAGCAAAGTGATGCCCAACCCTGGTGAAGGGTCTCAGGGTAGCCCTTCAGGGAGCGTAGCTGGCTGCCTGCCTCCCCACCAACAGCCTGGTGGAAGTGGGTGCTCACCCTCACTAACACATTTGAGTTCGTGCTTCAGAGAGAGTAAAAGGGTGCAGTCTTTGTGCTTTAGGAGAAAAACTTGCTAATGGCTTCTGTACACGAGTGGTGTTCTTGTGTCCTCCTACTGCGTACATCAGCACTTTTCTGGCCCTGGGCATCACACAGCTCACACAGTTTTGCCCCCCCCAGGTTGCTTCTCAGTAAGAACTGACTGTAATGTGTGTAAGGCATTAGGCTAAGAGCAGCCTGTTCTGGCATTGAATTCCTCCTCTGTGTCCAATATCAGACCTTGAACATCCCAGAGCATGTTGCTGCCTTTAACCTGGGCCAGCACACCCCAGAGCTGAATGTTCAACAGTTTCTGTTATCTGGAAACAGTTTCTGTTATCTGGATCACAGCCAGAGGGTATAGGAACTCTCCTCCCTCATGGAAATCTGGTAGATGTCCTGCAGTTCAGAGGCATGCTGGTGGTGTGTTTTATTTTTAAAACAGTTATAAAACTTAGTTCCACTAATAAGTGCATTTGCTTGGAATATGAAGTCTCCTGTGACCTAATTTTATTTCATTCTGCATCTCGTGAAAAATAAACAAAACTCTGTGAAGTAGGCACTATGGCCTGACTTAAAATTCAATGTTTTTCTGCAACTAAGGTTTCCACTATAAATGAGTCCATGAGAATATCCCCATTAGCTATTGATACTTATCATCCAGGTTTCACCGCTTTTCCTTTGAGAATTTTGATTTAGCAGGAACAAGAAATATCACGTGCCAGAAGTGTCTGCCACAGTTACTTTTAACAACCTCCCTCAGCTTTTGACACCCCTACCACATCCTGTTTGCATCTTTAGTATGTGTAGATATATGCTCATGTACCAGAGGTATGACTATGCATGCAAAGCATCCATTATAAGCAGTTTCTGATTTTCTCTGTTCATGCTAGTCCCTCTGAGTATGCCACGCACTAGTTAAGCTAGTTAAGTAGTTCCTACTGGCAGGAAATTTTCCTTTTATCCTCTTCACATAAACACAGTAATCACCCACATCTCTTTGCCTATGCTTACATTAAAATAAGTTCTCTCTTTGAGTAATATCAGTTCTACTGGGCCTGATCTTGGAATATGTCAGTGTCTTTAATCTTACACATTTTACTGAAAACTGAGCATGATTAATCTCTTGAGAAAGCTATTTAGAATATCAGGAGTTAACTGAGCTGTTGAAATATGACTACAGACAGGCCTTTTGGATCCTTGACTGGATCCCTAGCCGAGCCTTGCACTAAGTGTCATGGTAAATGAATTCAGTATTCGTTCTTGACTTGACTTCTCTAGTGAGATGTTTAACAGTCAGATGGCACAGTTATTTCTTTCCCAAAATATATGCTCAAACTACACCTTTTATTTGTTCAAGAAAAGTGGTCCTCCTGCACTGCATGTAATCTTACTTCTGTTATTTAGGAACCAAAATGCTGTGTGCTACATCTAGATTCAGCTAAATGAGTATCAGTGTTAAGCATCAAAAATGTAGGCAATGGCAGATTTATGGTTAATTTAGCTGCTTTCATGTTTATGTTGAGATGAACTCTCTAATTAATGGATCGTGCAATGATTATTTAAAGCCTTTTCCTTACATATAATTATTTTATGATTTGTCTCCTCTCATGAGACCATGAATTTACTTGCTGTGAAATGATGCAGTAGGCAGGTGAAGTATAGGAAAAGATCTCTATTAAGCCTAATGGTTGGCTGTGTGCTGAGGCACATACACATGCCCAGGCATTACAGAGTGAACATTCCCTACCAAACCATACCCTACCACCAGCAAATATTTCTTTGCCTAGTTTCGCTTATCGCAGTGTGCTGTACACTAGATCAGTACTCAATAAATGTTAATACTATTATCATACTGCTTGAAGCTTTGAAAGCATTTTAGACAAGATGGTCTCAGTTCTGTATTTTTAATTTCTGTTGGCAATTTTAAGAAATACCTACTGTATCTCAAGGAACTATGCTAACAACATTAAAGGTTCCTACACCAAATGCTCCAAATGTAAGAAATGGCAGAGCCTGTTCATCCTGGCCTACTTCTGTGGTCAGCCAGGACGCAGTTTCTGCTCTCAGCCTCAAGGCTGATGCTGTCACCTACAGACTCCTCTGAAATACCTGACAGTGGTGGTGTGTCCTGCACAGCTCAGTCACCTCTGATTCAGTGGCTGGCTGGAATGCAAAATGCCTCCTCAGGTGGAATAGATAAATTTATGCTGCCTCCACTCAACTATATGTGTTTCCCTGTGGAATAACAAGTAGGTGCATTTTGACTACCAACTCTGTGATTGGGCTGATTTGCTTGCTTTCCCTTTACCCTATGGAAAGATTTTATGTGCATTTGTGTTTAAAAAACCACCCCCACATTGTTATTTATGGGAGTTCCTACTGGTGCTTCTAAAGTGCTATTCTAGAAACCATTTTATTTGTTAATGAATTGCTTTGGTTGTGATATATCACAGAATCACAGAATCGTCTAGGTTGGAAAAGACCTTGAAGATCACATAGTCCAAACATTGATCTAACACTGACCATTCCCAACTACACTATGTCCCTAAGTGCTATGTCAACCCGAGTCTTAAACACCTCCATGGATGGGGACTCCACCACAGCCCTGGGCAGCCCATTCCAATGCGTAATAACCCATTCTGTAAAGAAATACTTCCTAATATCCAGTCTAAACCTTCCCTGGTGCAACTTGAGGCCATTACCTCTTGTCCTATCCCTTGTTACTAAAAAGACTCATCCCCATCTCTCTGCATCCTCATTTTAGGTAACTGTAGGGGGCGATGAGGTCTCCTGTCAGACTTCTCCAGATTAAACAACCCCAGTTCCCTCATCTGCTCCTCACAGGACCTTTGCTCCAGACCCTTCACCAGCTTCGTTGCCTGTTTTGCTGATTAAGGATAGCAAATAAACTTGGACACCAGAGTGAAAGGAGTAGGCATATTTTACTGGTGATAACCAAGTAATGTACCAGTGTAATACAGAAAACATGCAGTAAGAAAAAGCAGAATAGTGCACTTAAAGCAACAAACAAAAGAATAAAGGGTAATGCACCAAATCATTACTACACGATTTATATTATCATTATCCAGATCTGCAGACGTTGGGGAGCCCCAGTCACATCAAGGATTTGGAGAGCCTGTCCCAGAAAGTGGGAAATCCTACGCAGTGAGTCCACCCATAGGTGAGGCATCCAAAGTAGCTGTGAGCGGGCCCAGCCTTATATACCAGAGATTGACGCCAGAATAGCTGGCACCTTTGTTTTGAGCAGAAAATTTCTGGTTTCATTCTCCTGTTGGATTCCACCCAAAGCCTGGTGAGTTTCTAACAAGGCCAGATACTTGGGTTCTCAGCCTTGAACAAGGCTAAACAAGGGAAGTTGGATACATTCTCTCATCGCTACTGATTATATTTTGTCTAAGCTGCATCTTTCACTAGCGAGTTTACATACTTTGTTAATGATTTCATACCAAGTTAGCAGCTTCAGCTTGGGGCCTGTTGTTCAGACTTCAGTATTTCAATGCTTTAGCACTTTTTACATCAGCATAGGTGGGTTGTTATAACTTAGTATGTTACCTACTAGCACAATGGTTTTCAGTTATAAAATATAGAGGATTCATCTATAGGTCACAACTCTGGCTTGTCCAAGCCTTAGCACTTCATTGCCCTTCTCTGGACACATTCAAGTAATTCCATGTCTTTTTTTGGAATGAGGGGCCCAAAACTGAACACAGTATTCGAGGTGCAATCTCACCAGTGACCAGTACAGGGGTAAGATCCCTGTCCCTGCTGGCCACGCTATTTCTGATACAAGCCAGGATACCATTGGCCTTCTTGGCCACCTGGGCACACTGCTGGCTCCTGTTCAACTGGCTGTCAGTCAACACCCCCAGGTCCCTCTCTGACTGGCAGCTCTCCAGCCACTCCTCCCCAAGCCTGTAGCGCTGCTGGGGGTTTTTGTGGCCCAAGGGCAGCCCCCGGCATTTGGCCTTATTGAAACTCCTCCAGTTGGCCTCAGCCCATGGCTCCAGCCTGCCCAGGTCTCTCTGCAGAGCCTCCCTACCCTCGAGCAGATCAACACTCCCACCCAACTTGGGGTCATCTGCAAACTGACTGAGGGTGCACTCGATTCCCTTGTCCAGATCATCAATAAAGATGTTAAACAGGAGTGGCCCCAAAACCGAGCCCTGGGGGACACCACTCATGACCAGCCACCAACTGTATTTAACTCCATTCACCACAACCCTTTGGGCCTGTCTATCCAGCCAGTTTTTGTACGATGTGCAATCTGGTCTTCAGCCTTCCTCCTACACATCCCACCACCACTCTGCCGCAGGTCGAGGTGTGAATAATCTTCTTTCACCTCATGGTGCTTTTGGGTAGAGGTCAATGAAAAGCTGGATCTAGAACAATATCCTCAGGATGAGTATGGATACAAAGGCAGGCAGGTTAACTGGGGTCTGTGGAACGAGTCTGTGAAGTCTGCATGTGATCTGAAGTCTGCCAGCTTTTTCTTAGAAATCTGATTCAATATGTTCCAGAAAATGCATCATTCCAGCTTGAGC